TAGTGAGCGATACACTCGGTGCGAGACCCGGGACTCAATGGGGAGATTGCAGGTCGCGGAGGTCTATGATGACTGGAGGGTTCGAGGACGAGGGCAGCCCCCGTTCGTACCCTGGACTGGAGCAACCCTGTTCGTCTTTCGGGACGGTCAATTGCCCTGGGCGCAAGTACCAGTTGAAGGACAAGACCCAAATCAGGGACCGGAGGAGCCGGACGGGGATTCAGGTGGGGACCCACCGACATGGACCTCGAGTTCTCACACTGGGTGGCAGGGCCTCAACGGGCAAGGGGTATGGCAGGACTGGTCAGCAGGGTCCCGGTGGGGGTCCAGAGCGGGTGGCAGCAGGTGGGTCGACTTTGAGGAGGAAGGCATATCGGGTACGGCGGCTACGGCAGCTATGGCCTACATCCAAGAGATCGACCGTATTCAAGGAGCTGGACCAACGGCATGGAGGATGGTCCGAGAGAGGGGAGACATGCTGCTCAACCAGGCTGGATCAGTGGAGAAGGCCGCTGTTGCCCTCTGGATTGCGAGGGAGCACTTGGGCAGGAATAACCTACAGGGTGTCGATAGCGAAGAGCTAGACCCTCTGTTGCACCCGGACCAGGTGGCCTACCTCCGAGAGGTGAGATCACAAGGGATGCCGGCCCGTTACCTTGGACAAAGGGAACGAGTTGTGACAAGGCCGCACCCGCGGGCCGGAGCGGATTTGGGCCAGGTCTATGTGCAGTTGATGAAGGACATCACAAAGCACCGAGTTTTGGTCGTGTCAACTGACCATCCCAACCTTGGCCATACAGTCTCCTCGCCTTTCGAGTTGGTCCCCAAGATGCTTCCCAACCGAACACTCTCCACGGAGGCTCGACTGGTCCATGACCAGCGACAGGTCAACGAGGGGACTCACAAGGAGTTGCACCCCCCGGCGGCTCAGCCGACCCATGAACAAGTGGCAAGAAGGGTCCTATGGCTGAAGACAAGATACCCAGGGGTGAAGGCCGGAGTTCATGGGCTCAGAAGAGAAGGCAGTAGGGCCATGAGAACTCGGGACTCACGCTGATCTATCTCGTCTCCAGCTTCGGCTTCTCTGGATCTCCTGGCGAGTGGACGGCATGGGGCCGGGCAACCGAGGAGGTCCACCGCAACCTGCGACCGCAGCATGCGAGAAGGGATGGGGAGTCGCACTTTTGTGGGAAGATCCTGGTTGATGACATGGTCCTGGTCGAACCGATGATTGGCTTGCGGCCCTGGGTGTCTAGCGAAGTCTATGAGTGGGCGGTGGTAAAGCTCTTGGGAGAGAAAGCCATCAACAAGCTGAAAGATGCGGAGGAGGGCCAGTTCAGCAACCAACAGACAGTATGGGGGCTCACGATTGACGCCGACTTAGAGAAGATGTCTTTGCCGGAGGCACGGATCCTCAAAGGGGCCTACCTGCTGGCACAAACCCACTTCAACTATGGCAACAAGAGCTTGCCGCTGAAGGAGCTGCAACGCTTCAGGGGGATTGCCAATGGGTGGAGTGCAGTCATAGCCGGGCTACGAAATGAGCTACGGGCGGCGGACTTGTTCCTCGGCGGTGTGGATGGCGGTGCGGCAGTGCAGCCACGACTATGGCAACCAGAGGGATCGGAGAGCCGCAAGATCGAGGAGGAGAATGCCTGGGAGTCACTTTGGGAGCTGTTTGAGGACTGCCGGTGGCTCTGCTCTCGATCGGAGACGTGGGCAGTGAAGTTCGGCGGAGATATCCGAGAGCTGCTTCCACCAATGGAGAGGTTGGCGCTCCCGGGTCAGCAAGGAGCCGGACCAGTCTTCGTGTCATCGGATGCAACCCCAGATGTCGTGGCGGCCATCGACTGGACCAACCGCTTGGCGTGCAGGGAGTCAACCGAGCTGCTGAAGCCATGGATCAGACAGGTGATCGAGGCAGAGGGCCAGGGAGATGGCAAGCTGGCGATCCACCTAGGGGAGACGCTCAGTTTTGTCGCGTTCGCATGCAAGGTCGGCCGTCTCTGGGAAGGAAGGGTGGTCATCTATGCCGGGGACAACAAGGTGGTGTACTTTTGGATCACCGGGCGCAAGAGTGGGGTTCGAGCGGGCAGGCTTCTGATCCGGGTCTTGAATTTGGTCGAGAAGCGGCACCGATGCAGAATCCTCGGAGGATGGTGGCGGACCTTCCACAATGAGGACGCGGACGCCCTGACCCGTTTGCCAGAGCCAGAGGCAGTGCAACTTATGCGAGAGAAGGGCTGGGACAAACAGGACATCAAGGAGAGCATCTGTCAGGCTTTAGAGGACACAGAGCGCTTTGGCCTCTGCTTCTTGTCTTGGGCAGACCAAGAGGACCGCTATGAGTTGATGCGTCTTCGGGAACTGCGGGTGTTCAGAGCCATCTTCCGTCAACCGGCTGATCTGTCAGAGGTCGAGGTCATTGAGTGGACCCCTGGCCAGCGGCATGTGAGGGACTTTGAGTACTTCTCCGGTGGCAGCCCTGGGAGATATAAGGTGGTGGCAGGCACCATCGGCCAGACCCAAAGGGCAAGAAGGTCAAGGAGTTCACCCAGTGTTTGGACCAGGAAGTCTTCGACGTGGCAATCCTCGAAGGGCCCCAGGAAGTGATGTGGTCCCGCTTGAATCAGTGGGCCATTTCGGTCGGATGGAGTTGTAGCTCCCAGGAGTTTCTCACTTCGGAGCTAGGAGAGGCCTTGGTCAGAAGGAGGATCGCTTGCTTCCTGGCCCCTGGTGAGAAGGCGGAGGACACCATCGAGCATTTGATGGTGAAGGCGGTTACAGCCCCTTCCCTGGGCTCCTACTTGAAGAAGATCCACACGGGCAGTTGCACCCCAACGTGCAAGATCGAGGCCGCGATCAACCTCAGGCAAGAAGCTATGTTGCCGATCGTCGCGGCCCACGTATGGCTGGAAGCCGATGGGGAACGACACAACGTCTACTCTATGGGTGGGCCCGGCAGGTGGCCACTGGTGGACTCCGCCGAGAAGGGCATGCAGAAGATCTTCGTGCAGGACAAGGCGGCACCGGTGGGGCAAGTGAGGACTTTGACCGGTGAGGAGATCTGGGTACTCCAGGGCAGACGACTAGACGAATGGCAGGAGCTGGTCGCCCAAATCGGGGAGAAGGAGGCCGAACGAGAAGGATGTAGAGCCACTGGTCGCAGAACCGCGCTCAATCTGGTCGGGGTGGCCGCGGAGTTGGCGAAGGAGATTCGGGAGAATAAGGCCGGCATGTGCGCGGACCAGGAGGACTACAAGACTCTGGGAACGCTCCTGCAGTGGCTACGCCGCTGGAGACGAGGAGATTTCGGCAGAGCGAACCCTCATCGCAAGGCTGGGGGCGTCGAAGCACCGACCGGGCATGCTTGGTTTTGGGGCGAAGACCTATGGCTGAGCGCTCTGGACGAGGTGAACGACTTCGACGGCATCCAGGAGAGGAAATGTGGGGGACGTCGTAAGGGCCCAGTGAAACCGGTTGTGGAGGACGGTGGCCGCTTCGTGGATTTGAACCCCGACTTCAACCAGGACCTCGAGATCCAAGCTCAGATTGAGGAATGGCTTGAGGCACACCTCACTGGGGACAAGGCCGAAAGCACACAGAAGGCCTATCTGGCAGCCTGGCACAAGTGGTGCGATTGGAGCAAGAGGCAAGGATGGCTGACTCCGTATCTCGACCACAAGGGGGACCAGATCCAGAACGAGAACAAAGTCCTTGGCTACCTCGGGTACCTGGGTTGGTTGGGCACATCAGTGGCCACGATGAAGCAAGCGGTGTTCGCCATCAAGGATGCACACAAGCGGGCAGGGCATGGCGACACCACCACGAAGATGCATCGTTTGTGGATCGTCCTGAACTCCCTGGAGAAGCACTCCGTGAAGCGGCCCAGAAGATTGGGAGTCACCGTGCAGATGCTCAAGTGGCTCGGCAAGCAATTAGCTGCGGGGGCAGAAGCCATTGGTGAGCTGAAGGTCGATTGCAGGATGATCCAGGCGGCACTCCTCACGGCATGGTTCTTCATGCTGCGAGCACGCGAGTTCGCGGATTCAGGAGGAGTCGACCAGGAGATGGTGGTCAGAGGTCAGGACATCTCGCTGACGACCCGCGGCAATGCAGATGAAGAGAAGCCGGAGGAAGTCACGTTGCAGTTCCGGAAGACCAAGGCGGATCAGGAGGCCTTCGGCACGTGCAAGACCATGAAGGTGACCGAGATCGAGAACGTCTGCGTGGTCACAGCTCTTCATCGGCTTCGAAGGTCGCCCCGAGGCGCTTTGGGAGAGGCCCAGAAAGCCACCTGCCGCTGTTTCGCTGGGCTTCGGGGCCAGTGATCAAACGCTTGGAGATCCAGAACCTCCTGCAGAAGGCGGCCAAGGCCTTGGGACTCCCGGCGGAGAGGTTCCAGTCGCACTCGTTGCGGATTGGGGGTGCCTCGGCGCTATACCAAGCCACGGGGGAGATTGAGGTTGTCAAGAGGACTGGAAGATGGACGTCCTCAGCGGTGCAACGCTATCTCCATGATTCAGGAGATGTGTTGGCGGGCCTGGCTACGAAGATGGCGACCGTCGACCAGCATGTGCACTACACGTAGTGGAGCCACGTCCTTGAGCCCGAAGCAGTGAAGTGGGGTGGTGGCTGAAGCCATAGAGGATGAAAGTCCGAGGCAACAGCACCA